TACAGAGACATCATGTCCTTGATTATTTCAAGTATTCTATGGGAAAATTGCACACAATTTTGAGAAATCCTTTTTTTACTGCTTTTTTGACAGTGTTATGATGCCATATATATACATTTAAGAATGTTGATTGATATTCAAAACCTCTGAACCTTTGGCGGTAGTTTAACACGCGCTTTATTCAAACCTGGAGCGCGTGCTTTCACTATGCCACAGAGACCACCGCTTTGTCGCCAACTCCTCCTTCGATATAAACTATCAAAACTGTCACCAGCGAACCTATAACGGTCTTCGTCTGCTGGGCTCACTCTGACATTGAACTCGCTGAGCTCAAGGCTATCTGAAATGCATAAGTAGAAAATGCTTATTTTTTAGCAGCCTTGTGAGTGTTTAGCAGTGTTTTTCCGATCACTCTTTCTGAGCTGTATGTTGAGAAATCACTTACCATTGCCAGAAAATCAAGAACGTCTTGAATATAGTGAATAACGACGTTAATCACCATTACTGCACAGGCGGACGTGATAATCGACTTAGCTACCCTTACTGGTGCTCAGTCGTTGTTTCTGGTAAACTCCATGCAACACTTCTCACTAATTGCGAGGAATGGCAAGAAAGTAATATCTCAGCTATCCCTTTTCAAAGTGATGCATTCTGAATTGAACGAATTTAGGCACGTGTGGGTGGTCGCCGTTCCGGTGATTTTGTCGCGCCAATGGTATTTTGTTCTGATCTCCACTTCCAGGGTCTCAAAATCCCTGTCACAGATATGCGTTATAGCAATCTCGGCAAGGCAGAGGTGAACAAGATCTACGTGCTGTCAATAAGCAGTTTTCTTTTTTGGGACTTGCTTCGCATGCGCTACAAGTGCGTTCTGCACGTTTTCACCACTTTTTACTTTAGGGTCCACCATCGGCTTTAGCAGGTCTTTTCGTCGGTGCCCATATCGACTTCGGCTAGGAGCTCAAGTGGCTCCATTCTGATATAGCCGCATCGGCAGAGATCGGTGATCGTGGTACTGGATACGGCATTGCTCATATGTCTTACCTACTTGCACATTCATCCATGACTCCATGTTTCAGCGCGAGAGCGGATGCTGAAACCATCTAGACACTTTTGCTCAGGTTTCCAGCTTTGTAAGGAAAAGATTTGAAAACGTATGGCAAGCCATTTTGTTCAAAGCAGGAAGAGTTCTATACTTGTTGTTAAAGGTAGGGAAGAAAGGTTGAAAACGGCAGTGTTTTTACCCTTTCTATCAGTCAAGGGAAGTGAGTCGACACTCTATTGGTAGGGAATTTATCAGCACTGATTTAGCTGATTTGTTACCTTGCTACTACTGATAACTACTTTGTTGGTCGTTCTATCCGAAGTTGCACATATCGATTCACTGAAATTAATCGAAAACCAATGCAATTCGCTTATCTCACTTTCTACTATTGTACTTCGATAACATACTGCGCTTTATTTCATAAACATCGCAATTCTGCCAAATGTGATGAGCGAATTTACTATGGAAAGGAGCGTCTTAACATAGAATTTTGACCACGTTGAGCCTCACTAACTTCCTCTGCTGGCCAAGTCCACAATTCCTTCTTACATGATGGCAGGCAGATTAATGAAGTTATCTGCTACTAGACCATACAACAAGTTCATCTGTGGACTGTTTAAGGCTTGAGAGAGCAATTGTAACAAGTTGTTAGTTTTGAAGATTGAGCTTATTACGGAGGTTTTCTGTAGAGCCGCTTTCTTGGGCTCCGAAAAGCAGATGTACAAGATCAAAACTTGCTTTGACATGAGCAATTTAGTAAGGTAGGTATGAAAGGGTTGTGCAGGCTGCGCTATACTGCAACTAAAAATTTGAAGGCTATAACGAGATCTCACAGCAAATGGAAAGATAGAAATCAATGTAAAGGAACAGAAAAAAACAAAACTCATTGCTTATAGAATGTGTTACACTTCTGATTGAAACATAATATTTATTACTATCGCATCTTAAGTCTGCACAACTATCGCGACGAAAATTTCCTCAGATCCTACAACTAGAATCATTTCAAGTCTCATGAAAGGCGACAAGGCAAATTTCCCAAAATCAGTGCTTACATCGTTTCCCCCAAAAGCTCTGAAAAGCAGCAACAAATGAAACAACATCAATTAGAGGACTATTTTGTAGTAGTATTCAAGGCACTTCTGTGTTAGACGGCTAAAAATGACATAAAGTTTCTCCTCGCTGGACAAGAATTCTTCATAGAAGTGTTAGTAATCTTCCGAAAGTCTAAACCTCTAGCCATAGCTACACGTAGCCATTTTTTGAACGTCGCAAATTTCAAAATAAACTTATGTTTCACACCCTCCACGCACCTTCACTTGGCTCACGCATATGATTTGATGGAAGGATTAAAAGCATATTATATTAGAGAATGTTTCGTAGTATCTGAGTCAATCGTTCTATATGGAGTTCTTCTCCAAGGTGGAAGAATAATTCTGAAATGAAAAAAAGTTGTACCCCACATATCTAACCCGTATATATCTATCGCTCCGACCGCCCCTTAAAATGGCCGGATGCTCGTCTAATATGTGAAGCTCGATGTTATTTTCCACGCTACACTGCAATGAAACGCTCTTTTCCGGAAAATAAGCAGAGCGTTGGAATCACTGAAACCTACGCTTTCTATTGATTATTAATAGTCTAGAGAAAGACCTTTGCCCGGCAAAGTGTAAAGCACAAATCTTTACATTCTCCTACACCTCTATCAAAATAGCTTTTTCACAAAGCAAGCACATTTTTGAGTTCTTCGAGAAATATGTTATCGAAGGAGTACTAGCAGTCTAAATGAGATGCTTTGTCCAGCAAAATATAAGCGAGATAACAAAAAAGTGTGGTCGTGTGTAAAGTGTACAGCATTATCAAAGAATGTTTGGAAAACTAACGATGTGCAGCCGTAGCTAGAGTTCATATGATTAATAACTCTCTATGAAAGCAATTCAAAAGTTCGACTTGCTATAAACCTCGGCATAATCAGTTATTTTATGAAAATCGAAAAAACATGTCTCGATTAGCTGAAGCGAGGATGATAAATAGTCGTAAAAGTTCGGCTGACGTTTCGGTGACCCGCCCTCTTCAGAGCCTGGACGTATGTAGTATTAGTCCATTTGAATGATTCAGATAATGTCAGATGTATGCTGCCTAGGTCAGGTTAGATGATTAATCGAAGAAAGGGCGCGAATCTCGTGTGATGGTGACGCGCTCGTTCTTCCGGTTCATTTCGGGATTTTGGGCGTTTATCCAAAGTGCCTCAAGAGTTTTGCGCGTGGAAGTTTTTGATTCCTGCGCTAGGATTGTGACAGTCACATCAGAATCCTTGTTTTTGTGTTTTTGTGTCCTATGTAAACCTAAAGGTTTCGTCTTATCTATTTTAGATTTACTATCTAGATGTTCTTTTATGCGGATGAAAAGTGGTCTACCCGTTTCGCCTATATATTCTTCCCCGCATGTTTTACATGCTAGTAAATGAATTGTGCCCGATCTCATACAATCCCCTTCTTTCCCGTTAGAGCAGATCATACAGTTTTTGGTGTTGCACAATCAATCACAAAGTCTATTGCGGATCGGCTGATGGCGTAGGGTGGGGAGTGGGATTTTGATAACTACCACAGAATTTTCAAGACTTCATCTTTTTAGGCACCTTTTAACCGGGCTACTAATTTCGTTTGATATAAATGGCAATTTGAAGGAAACTCTATTCAGGTGCTGAGTATTGTTCTTTTGGTACCTAATTCCACTTTTTGAATATTCCCAAGTGGCAAATGTTTTGTAGCCGTTGGAAATGGCAGTTTTTCGTGCCAAGTTTAACGATTCGTTCCTTTCCTCTTCTCCTGTGCACAGATTTTTAACTGTTCGAACCATGTTTTTAATTAGGGTTTTTTTCATGGGTGAAGAATGAGAGGGAAGGCGATTGACTAAAATGTTTTTGTAACTCGGTTTTCTATACCATTTTGTACTATAACCACTATCCAAAAGCTTTACTTTGATGTTTGAGAATGGAAGCCAGCTCCGGTTTGGACTTTCTAGCGTAAATTTTATATGCTCTGACTGTCCGTTCAAGACTTCAAAACATTTGTCCATTTCCTTTTGTGTGGAACAGACAATGAAACAATCGTCTATATGCCGGCAGTAGAGCAATGGGTGGTGAACGAGAACTGGAGCTTCCACCTTATATAGAAGATGGCAAGACTATGTGCCAAACGTTGACCCATGGCTAACCCCCGAGTTATATGAAGTATTTTCTCGACCACCGCAAGAGTGAATAACCATGACGTTGTTTTGAGAGGGTCATTAGTTGTTGAAATGTGAAGCCATACATATTTACTTTTTGTTCATTTTCAGTTAAAAGTTTGAAAATGGCTTGCATTGCAGAGTCATTTGATACGTATGTATAGAGTGAAATAACATCAAATGGCTTTATTACGTGCGAATTGTTTGGTTTCGCGCAACGTAGGTGAACCAGGAACATTTAGGTATCGGGTAGATGGGTTGGTATTCTTCTGTAGCGATTATTCCGTGTAGAATGCTCTTCTTATCGCTTTATCATGCACGACTTTTCCTTCACTGCAGTAGATCAGGCTGTGAACTTGGGCAATAAAACCGCTATACGTAAATTATAATACGACAACATCAAGACACCGATATCGATAGACCAACAGAGGACTTGGATAGATACTATGCAATCAATAGTTGGAATTATTAGAAATGAACGATCCTATGAGTAATGCGAAGCAGGCTCCTGAGGTATTTATGTTGTAGCAAAGGCGCCACCAAATGCATTGGTGGTTTAGTGGTAGAGCGTTCGCTTTCCATCTGGGCGACCCGGGTTCGATCCCCGACCAGTGCACATTTGGTCCACACCAACCATCTGGCCGGGACCCGGGTCGCCCAGACGGCAGGCGAACGCGATACCACGAAACTATGAATGCATTTATTGGTGGCGCCTTCCCCACAATTTTTGTGCATCGGCCGGGAATCGAACCCGGGTCCTCCGCGTGGCTGGCGAGCATTCTACCAATAAACCACAGATGCACATTTGGTGCACTGGGCTCTGGAAGATCGAGCTGTCTGTTAAGGTTGATGACAGCTGGGTGCTGCGCTCGCCACTTGGACCATTTTCTGTCTAAGGTCCTCGAACCTCTGCGAACCACTTGCTCTCTAAAATCATGGACCATCTGCGTTGCCTAAATTATCATGTAATTCCCGAAAAGATAGCAAAAATCTCTTGGGAGGTTTGCTATACATGTAAAGTAGATTGACGAGCAAGCATCAGTATTCCACATGTGAAGTATAGCGGAGAACAATATTTTGTATTACAGATGTAAAGTGTGATAAGGGTGAGTCTCTATATTAGTCATGTGGAGTTAATGGAGAGTGAGATTCTGTGTTATAGATGTGAAGTGTAATAAGGGAAAGGCTTCTTTGTTATACATGTAAAGTGTGATAGGGAGCAAGCTTCTACAGGAAAGATGAGTTGAGAATCAAGAGGGATGGAAGTTGCAGCCGAGCTCCAAATGGCGTCCATAGCCAAATGGCACTTTTGTGGGCTTGACGCTTTCCAAGATTCTTGTTTGCGTTAACCTATCAGTAGTTTTCCAGCACAACACTGGTCAGCTACTGTGGGAAACACGTCTGTCCATAGAACCAATCACTGCGTTTTGAATAGTTCACCCGCACAACGCTGGCTATCTGGTGCGCGAAACAGGTGCCGCTTGCACCGGGATACTGCAGCTGATTGTGCGGGATACTGCAGTCGGCAGATCAGCGTGGGATACTCGAATCGGCTACTATGACTGACTGCCTATTCAATAACTATTATAATTATATGCAAGTAGATAACTTTGCTATTCATGACTATGTGCAATGAGAAAAATAGCAGTTATTCGAGAGAAGAACTGTTATATTTCCTCTGCTTTACGCTTTTGAAAGCTCTTCCCTCTCGAATTGTTATTTGAAGTCGCTATTTTGATTTACATCCAATTTTGAACTTATGGAACGAAATAAATGGTGCTATATTGATTATTCAAAGCATGATTTGAACAGCCAAAATTTCTTGTAAATTGAGTTTCAAAAAGAGCGCTTTATGACAGTTGTTAAATAAGCGAAAGGCGTTAAAATTAATCATGGTCAAACTGTTCAAAGCAAAATTCACTTATAAGTCTTATAGCAAAAACGGTCATTGTTTTCGCACTGGCGTGGTTGTAACTTCAGATATTAGTCGAAGCAACATCTCTGCTTTACCAATCGTAATAATCACTCATAATGCCGTAAGTTTCATTGTTATTTTGAATGATGTTGCTAGTTTAAAAAAGATGCTTCCGTGCTGTAAAGTAGTTAATGCGTGAGTGTTAGCTTTCCTGTAAGAAGTTCTTTTGTCGTCGGTGTTTTTTGAATTTTTTTCTTATATCTTTCACTACCTAATTATCCTCAAACAAAAACAATTCATTTCTGAGAAAGGATGGACAGTACGCGCGCTTCTTGGTAATGAAGTAGTTTTTCGCAATTTTCCAAGAAAAGTGCATATTTTAGTGGAAAAAAACGAGAAAGAAAAAACTAAGAAAAAGTAGATTTAACGAAATTACGGAAAAAAGTGTACGCACGCATCTAATATCCAACACATGCTGCTCTTATCTACTGACATATAGAGTAGTCGGTTGTTTTGTTTGAAATGTTATTAATCAAAATTGTGTAGAAAACCGAGTAACACAAACATTTTAGTCGTTTACCTTTCCTCTCATCCTTCACATAAGAAAAAATCGCTAATCAAAAACATGTGTTGAACTGCTGAAAATGTGTGCAGAGGAGAAGGGGAAAGGAACGAATCGTTAAACTTGGCACGACAAATTGCCATTTTCAACGGCTACATAACATTTGCTACTCGGGCATATTCAAAAAGTGAAATTAGGTCCCGAAAGAACAATACTCGGCAGCCGAATAGAGTTCCCTTCAAACTGCCATTTATATCAAACGAAATTAGTAGCGCGGTTAAAAGGTGCCTAAAAAGATGCAGTCTTGAAAATTTCGCGGTAGTTATCGAAATCCCACTTCCCACCTTACGCCATCAGCTGATCCGCAATAGACTTTATGATCGACTTTGTAACACCAAAAACTATATGATCTGCCTTGACAGAAAAGAGGGGGATTGTATGAGATCGGGCACAATTTATTTACTAACGTGTAAAGCATGAGGGGAAGAATATATAGACAAAACAGCTAGACCACTTTTCACCTGCATAAAAGAACATCTAGATAGTAAATCTAGAATGGATAAAACAAACCTTTAGGTTTACATAGGGCACAAAAACACAACAACAAGGATTTTGATGTGACTGTCACAATCCTAGCGCAGGAATCAAGGACTTCCACGTGCAAAACTCTTGAGGCACTTTGGACAAACCCCCAAAATCCGGAAATGAACCGGAAGGACGAGCGCGTCACCATCACATGAAATTCGCGCCCTTTCTTCGTTTGATCTTCTAACCTGACCTAGGCAGCATATGAATAAGATAATCCGAATCATTCAATTAGACTAATACTACATACGCCCAGGCTCTGAAGAAGGCGGCCAAAACGTCAGCTGAACTTCTACGACTAGTTTATCAACTTCGCGTCAGCTAATCAAGATAAGCTTTCTCGATTTTTATACAACATCTCTGTGAAAAGTTCTTTTTTTGAGAAAGAAACCGCTTTTTTATTTGTCGCTTTCTAACATATGAGTGCCACATTTACTGCATATAGTGCAGTGCAATGGAATGAAGAGCAGTTAAGTTTCTATTTTCCGAAAGTCCAATAATGAAAACATATTAGTCCACTAGATTTTTTTTTCACCGCTCACACAGAATACGAGCGCTTGGGTGATTTCGAACTGCATCTAATGTACACAAAATAATAAAATATGAGGAGAGATCCTTACACTTGGCGCTAAAGAGAGTTTCTTCTAATGGAGACTATGCTGTGGAAGCTTCTCGGGTTAGATTCGAAGGAAAAGTGACGTTCTTAATCGACGGATCTACCGAACATAACTGGTCTTTTCACGAGTTTTGATGCTAGAGCAATACACACCAAGTTCAAAGTAAACAAAATTCCTAGACAACACTATTTAAGGTATTCGCCATCAGCCTTAACACATTTCTGCCATCTCTCAAGCAACAAGTCAATACCGCAACTGCATATCATTTTTCAAGAGTCAGCGTGCTATGAAATAGTGTTTGTCGATAGACCAACGAAGAATTTCAAGTCCACGTCCAGATCGTTTCGCGCCAAAGACTACGCTTATCATTATCTAGGACCGGAGAGTGCCGATTCACAGGGTCCTGCCGTCAACCGGAGAGACGACCAACGCCAAGTGCTACTGTGAGAACGTGGACCACTGCGAAAGAACTGTGTCATGTCAGCGTCTCTGCATTTTCATCCTACTTCAAGACAAAGCAAGACTGCTTGTCTCCAATTTGACAAAGCAGGAATTCGCCCGAACTGAGCTGTGATTTGCTGGATTATCCGCCGCACATCTCTAACTTGTCGTCGTCTGACTATATTACTTTTCATGTCTTCCTTCTTCCAGTCGCTGGAGCACTTCCCAGACAAGCGGAAGTTCCGATACATCATTAATTTGCGTTGAGGATTGGCAATTATCTATTAGAACAAGGGTGACGAGCTTTCTAGACGCAGTAGTGATTAATCGTCTGAGAGAAAACAGAAATTCCTTCGGGCTGATGGCGCATACTTTGAATAGAGCTGTTGAAGGATTTAAAATACTTTCGGTCAATAGATTTGCTATTTGATGCTCTAGTGCCAGAACTTATCAGGAGACTTGATAATAAATCTTGTTATCATCAACTTCATAACTACTCAAAAGTGCGCTGCATATTTTCAACAATGTCGAAGTTGATAGACAATAAGTTCTGAATATCGTTGTTCGTTTATGATCGTATTTGTGCTTCTCATCGTCGTATCCCACTCAAACGATTGATGATTATAGAGCTGAGAAGTGACTTAAACAGGATAAGAGTTTTGGAGAAGCTCAAGAGGTGGAGCACAATGGTACATCTCACTGTTCAAAAACAAATAAGTATTTACATTATTATTTGCAGCAGTTTATATGAATAATTTTTATCAGTCATACAGATAAATGACCCTCTTCTTCAAATTGTTTCACGTCATTCTAATTACATTGAGGGGCCACTGTTACTAAGTACATCATCTACAGTTGACTACTTTATGGTAGAGATTCAATTGACTTTATGCTTCTTTAGCTTTGACTCTATTTCTACCATTTGCATACACTTACTAAAAAGTCATTGTTGTTCTCCGATTGTTCCTCCATATGTGATTCGATAGCGAGGATGACTATGGATATTAAAAACATCAGAGACTGAGGCAGCCTTATAATCATAGTCTCAAAGAATTCAAGAACTAATGGTATAACATACCCACTAATGTGGAGTGGTGTCCAAAACTCTTCGCGTTAGGCGGGTTCGAACCCACATCTCACTCTATCTGGGAGCGCGTGCTGCAACCTATTGCTCTACTAATACCCAATTCGCCATCACTCTTCTATGATACACAACGCATTTATCTGTCAGCGACCAACCCCAACGGTCTGGCCTGGGTGGTCGCTGTCAACACTGAACTCACTGATGCTGGCAGATATCGGGTGTCGTCGATCAAAAGGAGTTCTTTTTATGTGACCACCTTTAGCGGTAATATGATGGTATAATAAACCTAGTAATGTAAAGTGATGTGCAGAACTTTTTCACTTAAGAACTGACCTAACAGTGCGTTTGGAGTTGTTGATGATTCGTGACTGCGGTCAGGTCATATTAGACTGAACCGGATCGCCCATCATATTGACAAAGGAAATTCTTTGACCTTGTCGTCGAAATGTTGAATGCAGAAAAGGCTTCCACATGAATCTCCAAAGATCTCAATAAATAAATTTAGAATACGTGTCGTACACAAAAGCGAACACGCTGGGCATAAAAGGTTTTGCAAGCCCTGAGAACAGGATCAAATCATCTATCACATATTCGTCG